TAAGCCACGCCCCCTCCCCTAAGGCGCAAGTTACGGCGACTTCCTGCTTCCTGCCCGATGCTGCCCGGCAAGCGGTGGGGCGGGGCGCTGATTGGCTCGTCCGCAGCGTTCCAAAGGGGCGGGGCCGCAGGGAGGGATTTAAACTCCAGCTGCTCTCCGCGTTCTACTAGCTGTTGCAGCGTTCAGGGGGCCGGGCTGAGTCGGGTCGGGTGAGTGTGGCGGCGGTGGGAAACTAGCGCGGACTCGGCTCTCCCGGCCTTCCTCACCCCCAAGTGGGGCCTGGGTTGGGGGGGAGGGGCGGCTTCCCCCCGCTGAGCTGCCGGTTCCCTCAGTCCTTAGGGTGGGTGGAGAGAGGGACGTGCCCTGGCCGCATCCCTCCAGTATTGATAGGCCGGGCGTCCCTTGGGGAAGGGGGTCTGGGTTGGGAGGGCTGGGGGTTCCCTCTGCACCTATGTGCTGCCCTGATCCTGGTTTGACTGACTTGAGTGTTGCTGGCCTCCTGCCTCGGGCAGCATGTTCCCTGTTGAGGGTCATCTAGGGAGTGGGTTTGTCTTCCTTCCCCCAGTTGGCTTGGGCCTGCTTGCAGCTCGGCACTCCGGTTCTGACTGGTCTGTGGAAGAGCCTTTCCTGCCTCGTTGCTGCAGAAACCCAGCAAGTAACAAGTGCTGCTGGTTGTGCAATAGTCAGAGGAGTTGGTTTCTCTTCCGTGCTGCCCCAAGAACCTTTTGAAGGGGAAGGGCCTGTGGCTCAGTGCCAGAGCATCCATTAGTGTCTCCAGGGCCTTTCGGGGGTGCTGCGTGGTACTAACCCTGCTGGGTGTGCGAACATAGTTTGCAAGGCAAACCCAGATGGCAGCTAGGAGTCCAGAGCATAGCGAACCTTTTGATGTGCAGTGGGCTTCCTAAGTTCTTTGCAATGGAAGAATTGCCCTGGTATTTTTTATCTTATTTAATTTTGTAGCAAGAAAACAAGTGAAAGTTAAGAGCTGGCATCTTCTTAGGGGTGCCTCCAGTCTGTCAAGGGGGTGCTTCAAAGCCTGAAAGGGTTGAGAACCACTGCCCAAAGCTGAAGCAACTAGAGCAGTGGTCACCAACCAGTGGATCACAAACCACTGGTAGATCTCGGGCCCTCTTGTAGTCAGTCTGAGACTGGGGTGGGGGGCTGTGTGCCTGCATGCATGCAGACTGCAGCCCAGCAGGTCAGCCTGTGGTGGAGGAAAGGGGTGGGGGCTAGATTGAGGCCCATGTGGTGAGGGACAGTGCTGCAGAGGCAGGAGCAGGGGTAAGTTGAGTGGGGCCCTGGCTGGAGTAAGTTAAGTGGGTGGGACTTACCTGCTGGGGAGGTGTGCCCCTAAATGATTTGTTCCTCTCTGTCTCTATCTGCCCTCCCCCGGACCCTTCACTCCCCACAGACTTACCTGCTGGGTGGGGAGGAGGGGTGGTAGCACACAGTTGATCTTGGGATGCTTTTAAAGCCAAAGGTGATCTCCAACTTAAAGGTTGGAGACCACTGAACTAGAGGCATAAGAGCAGCTTGTCTTGTGACTGAGCACTGAATAGGCCAAGCTGCTGCTTCATCTTGTTACTTGGCAAGCAGTTGCTTGAAGTTCTGAAAAGGACCAGACTTCTCCTCCTATAGCTATCACATCCCTTCTTCTTTTATAAGATAAAAAGTGATTTGTGAAAGGGTGTCAAACTCTCACAAAGCTGAGAGGCTAATATTGGTAGACTGCCTTCCACCAAAAGAAGCTGCTGTGCATGTGAAACTTTAGCCATCTTTAATCAAGGCAAGAATAATGCCACTCCAACATGCTAATTCTAGCACTTGTATCCTAGACATATATTCTTTTGTTATATGTAGTGCATTGCCTTTTAGAAGTATGGAAAGGAGTTGAGTTCCTTCCAAAATGATCACTCGTGTAATATTGAGTCAAAAAGTTAGTAAGTGTACTCTTGGGAATTAATTTTAGTCACTCTAATACCATTTACAACTGTGATAGACCAGCTACATGTAGCAGCTTTCTATTAATACCAATACTCTGTGGGGTTTTTAGTTTGTTTTATTTTAATTAAGCATTGGTGTTACTTTGGAAACTACCTCTTGTAATTTTAGTGTTCAGCTGTACTGTACTGACAACACTCTGCTTCTAGGTGTTGTGTCCGTCCCCCCCCCCCCCCCCCCCCTC